TAATATTGATACTATTGAACACTACATAGTATGTCATTTATAATGAATTGTAAAACAACTTAAAACATCTCACACGAAAATGGTTTATAAGCCTCGAAATCTAACAGTTTGAGAAAACACTAAAATCTTCCCTTTAGTGCATCACTCCACTACAGATCGACATTTTTCCATTTATCATCAGTTCATATTCATCCACTAAAATTTCAATAGACAATTCTTGGCAAACTGAAATTATCATATTTCTCTATATGAAAATATTTCTGGTATGTTTCAGTGAGTGAAGAATATTTTACACATTGTTTTACACTTTTATGCATAGGTCATCTAAGAGTGCATAAAAACATCTATATAGATAACAATATTTTTAATGTGATGAATTTGATAACATTTTTTCATAGTAATCATGAGTATAGGCTTTATGAAGTACATCACTTTCAAGCTATGTATTCTAAAGAATGATTCACTCAATTTTGAACAAAGAACATTGAGGACAACTTTGTGCTATTTGTTTATCACAGATTGTTGACAATCTGACACGTCATAAGTGAAAAGAAATGGATGTTGATTTGATGTGTGGGATTTTATTTGATAGAGTTTGTGTTGTCATGTTGTTGAAGTTGAGTATTACTGTTGACTAATCTATTTCACCTCATGTTCATTCTGAGGAGATTGTGTTATATCTGATGGATATGCTTTGCTGATAATTCTTTCAATCTAGATCTTACTACAACTGGTGGTGTTTTATTCAAGGCACATAAAAACGTAGACTTTAGACTCTGGTATTCCTATCATTTTTCCTTCACAGAACAGGTCTCGAAACAGACCTTCATGACTCAAGGTTTTCCGAATCACATAAATCGTATCAGCTAATCAAGTATTTCATTGTGCATAGTACGTATTCAACCACCTCTATAAAACTGCACACTTATTCTATGTAGTGTTCGAATATATGATTAATGAATGCCAGGATCCGTCCACGGGTTATTTGCACTTCACATAAATGAAAGTGACTGTACCTCCGCTTGTAAGTCCAGATTTAAAATACTCAACCTTAATCCTTCATGAAAGACGAGACTAAAACTACATATCGTCTTGAGCTTCAAAATATCTAATAAACTACCTTTTGCATCCAATCAAACAATTCAGTATGTCGAAACGCCTAGTTACAAAATCCTCAAACTCTTAGTTATTGATGAATCATTCGATTTCAGAGAATGAAACTCGGTTTGATTCAATTAGGACATTGAACTACTCATTGACGAAGTGACCTACACTAAGTTATGAAACGTTACAAGTTCATTTTACAACTCTATAGGACGTTACAAATGCATCACTTTATAGTTCAATTTTAAGCGAAATAAAATCAAAATACATCAGGCATCATGCATCACTGACGCTATAGTAGAAAATGTGAACAATGAAAAATAACATTGGTTGTTTAGTTCTGATTTTAAAAATTCTTACATATGTACCGCGATCGCAAAATGGTGTTCATTTTGATCAATAACTTCCAATGAATCCGTTCAGTAATTTTCTAGATGGTTCAAATTCATTCAGAGTGTTGCCTCGTGCAAACAAATGCTAACATGACAGGACTGTCGTATATGCCAGCAAGCTAACTAATTTTGTTAGCTCTTAGTATTGACGAGATTAGACCATTTGAATCGTTAATTAATGTACATTCTTCCCATAAATTCAAACTGTTGAATATCCAACTATTGACCGAAACTTGAACGATTTGCCATAATACATTGAGAATAAGTTAGAGAAGATAGTGATAATGAAATTCAATTCAGATTTAAAATACTAATATTTGAACCGAGAATATTCTTTTCGATAAATTCTCTTCAGGTTCTACAATTCATATATCCAAATTAATAATCCGAAAAAATGGCCAGGTTGAGGGCAAAGTACATCGTTTAGAGCATGTGAATTTAGGATTGTGATAAACAAAATACGATAAAAGAATATTCTTCGTTCAAATACTAGTCTTTTAATATGACGGGGATCTTTAAAAGATTTAAAATACTTTAGAACAAAATTAGTTAGTAAATGTATCTAATTTATTTACAATGGATGCTTGTACTAAACAAATAGTTTAGTTTCAATATAGTAGAGATGGAAGAGTTTGTTTATTATTTTTCTCTTATGGTGAACTAGTTTAAGCATTTGGCATAAATAAATAAAATTTAGACATCAATGAGTTCATTTATAGATTAAATATAAAATACTTTGCTGACTAAACTCTAAGAGCATTAATACGGAAGTTGAATGATAGAATGTTTATTATGAGTAGGATTCAGTTTCAACGAGTAAAGACAAACAACAGACTAGCAAGCATGTTGCAGTTATGTGGTGGTAAGGCCGTAATTGTATTCGTTTGAAATGAGGAACAAAATATGTGAACGAGATGCTATGTGGTTAATTGATAAGCATCTACACAATAGACAAGAGATTCAGTAGACGATTTCTAATAAGAATTATCTACACAGAAAAATACAACACACCTTCCACAAAATTTGAACTTTGTCGAATTAAGACTAGTCTGGTTTATGTGATAATTTCATTCATACTAACACTTGAATATGTTCCAAACGTTTCTATGATGAATTAGTCGTTTCAGTTATTCATATCTATTTAGGAGGTCAAATACTTCTACAATTCAAAAACGTACCTATTTATACATTATTGATCATTTGTTACTTACTTACTTACGCCTGTTACTCCTCGTGAACGAGAATAGGCCGCCCATCAGCATTCTCCATCCAACCCTGTCCTGGGCAATCCTTTCTAGCGCCTTCCAGTTGTTATTCATCTTTTTCATGTTTGATTCTATTTCCCGACGTAGTGTGTTCTTTGGCCTTCCTCTTTTGCGCTTCCCTTCAGGATTCCAAGTTAAGTCTTGCCTCGTAATGCAGTTTGACGATTTGCACAATGTATGTCTTATCCGTTTCCATCGTCTATTCCTAATTTCTTCTTTAGCTGGAAGCTGGTTTATTCCCTCCTGCAGAAGTCTGTTGCAATGGTTGGGATTGTGAATATGTTTGTAGTCCTGGTAAATACGCCACCACCATATTCATGTGAGTCTGAAACATTCACACCTCCATCAGTCAGAGACACATTTCATCAATTAATCTTGATAAGTAAAGCGACTGAAACCAGTGATTGGATGAAAGACATCAGCATTTAGGAATTCATTTGTCGTTAATATAGGTTTTCAGAAATACTTCCCTCATGAGTCACCATGTGAAGCATGTAAACTATAGTAATTTTGAAATTTATTTTGACGAACGTTTCATGGAATGAAAAGTGTTGTTTCATCTCAGTTTCTCTTACTATACTTAGATTATAAGCACAAAATATTTAGAATACTAGTGAAAGATGAGCTTCGATTCCTTAACGAATCAAAGTAATTCACACATACTTTCTTGTCTGTCGCGCTATTCATGTTTTGAAACGAATATTCGATAGTGTTTTGTTTTGTAAGTATGATGGGTACAGTTGGTTTACGAAAACCGAAATCTTGAATTGTTCACCTCCAATTCACAAAAGTCAGAACTAGACTAATCGACCATTCTCTTTCATAGATGATCTTAATGCATACGTATAGAGAGTATAGGCAATAATTATTTTGGTGAATATATTGATCTACAATCAGACATAATGTGCAGCTGAATTGACTGGGATAATAAGGGAAGAATGCATATGTAGGCATCTCATTCATCTTTGGTAACAGTACGAGATGCATCGTTGCTTGATGGTATGTCTGTTAACAATTGATAATATGATACACAGTTTAATGGATCATAAGAAGCATACATTTTGAATGTGATCTATTCACGTTATCGAAAAACTATATTAACTTAATCTATCTTCAGTGGTCAAATAAACATACTGCAGTTTATAAACTGCAAGTTCTTCTATTGGAAACATATATGTATATGAATATACTTCTAATATCTGTGATAACTTCATATAGTGAAACGATAAGTAGTTCAGGCTATCTGAAATATTTGGGTCTTGAATCTATGTTGACGTTCATTGAGTGATTTTTGTAACTACAAAATATAAACCGTATTTTTTCCCCAATTTGTCACACTTGATATGTAACCACATTTTTATACAATATCTATTGCTTTTCTGTATCACTTTTTAAAAAACGATTATAATTGTTTGGATACTTATATACGAATATTCTACCGCGTAGGTTGAAATGAAAAATACTATCTACACCATCTTCTGCTTTATTGTCCACGGCCTTTTATTGAAAACTAAATTAATGTTATAAAGTCATTTTAGGCCTTCCTACACGCATTTTGGCACGCATTATTATTAAATAATATTATTGGATCCAGTCTTTCTCATTACGCAGTATTAGCCACCTCGTGCAGAGGTATCTTCGTTAATCAATTGAACTAATTTGTGATTGTCATCTCAGAGAACGGCTTACAAATAACATTAATTACCGAACCCCTGTTATTACCTTGTTGTTTAGAACACCGTTTTAATTCTAACTTAAATATGTTAACTTTTGACTTCACTCATAGACAGCCACCGAGGAATATAATGTTAACTCAATTGGTATATTATTAATGACCATGCGTACTGATATATCTTGAGTGAGCTCTTTTTCTGGGATCCACCACAAATCAATTACGTTGTTTAATGCTAGATAATTGCACAGAATTTCCACAGTCACAGATTATGTGCATTGTATACATCAATTCTGAAGGTGCGTCAATAAAGAACCAACCTATCAATTCATAATTGTCATTGAAATATTCTCCACATTATCATTTAACGACTCACACTCATGATCCTCTTCTACAGTGGCTGTGCACTCAATACGATTCGAAAATTACCTAATATTACATATCAACTATCTGTTTCGATAATTGTTTCCTACTAAATACATCCACTAGCAACTAGAAACGACAATGATATTACCCATCCTGAAACACACTTATATGACGAGATATAAAGAGAAAACACTCTCGGTCTTCTGCACGAATAACTGTTTATTTGAATTCTTTACTAATAATGATGATGTTTCAATTTCGATTTTGAAACACTACCACATACAAAATTACCACACACAAAAGCACACACACTGACAATAATATGATAATAGATCAACCAGTACAAAAGACAATGTGGAAACACAATCGCAGTTATACTAATATACATTCTGTTCTGTTTTGTGGTCTTCATTCATCTGTACATTATTCTGTGTTTGTTCTTATAAAGATGAATTCGGGAATCGATGAGTACTAGAGAAAATGATGTTTGTGAATATGATTGGGTTGAGTTGCGTGCAGAATGATCAGATGTGTGTTACAATGTTTGTTTTAGTTTCTGGTGATATTTGTCTTGCATATTCGGTTTCCTCCAACTTAACCGGATTTGAATAGAAGAATTGCTACATTGCCCATATAAAAGTAGATAAAATGTTTGGTTTCATGCGTCACATAACTGTAAAAAATGAGGGAAATAAAACACCAGTTAACAACATAGCAACAAATTTTCTATATAAAATTTACATAATTCCTTATACATCGTTACAATCTCTACATTATAACTTCAAATGATTTCTGTCTTAGCATTGACACTGAGTGAATAACATTGATTACATATTAATAATGAATAAATATTTATGTCGAGTTACAAAATGTTACTAACCTTCCGAAATTTCTCCCAACAATACAATGCCATGTAGGATTGTATTTCTTGTCAAATTCTTTCTTAATGAATGCTGCTATATCTTTTTCCACACTATATTTCTCTAAAGCTTGTGCAGCACAATCAACAGCCTCTTGTTGCATATCATCGGACATATCGGCATTTTTCACTACTGCTTTGTGTTCAGACATCATTATTCTCTAAAAGATTTCTAATATGTATGCGGATGAATTGAGTAGCCGTTCACTAATTGTCTTCACAGTGCTACCTTATAATAATTTCTAATTCCAAAACAGACACTATTTATATCAACAATAGTGTCATACTTTTGACCTTATTATAAATGCAATGAAGTAAGAAAATGAGAGTTTAGTAGCTTGGCTTCAGATATAAAATATGTGTGTAGGTATATATATATATATATATCTATTTATATATGTAGTGGCACAGATTTTAATTGGCTCATGCATAATCTTGACGTGCATGTCTTATCACTCTGTTTTAAATCACCGTCATTACAACTACAACAATATCAATGATGAGAATAATGGTAATGAAAGAAAGTTACAAATCTGTATTCAATACGCTTTCTTTATTAAAATAGTAGCATATACATTCCTGACTATTTTAACAATAATGGTGTTTGAAGTGACTCAACATAATAGGAAGCAATTGTTCACGCTTAATGATGAATTTCGTTCAAATTAAATAGATCTAGACGAAGTGTTTTATTAAGTGGTGATCATAACTAACTGAGAGAGGTTCTTGTGAGAGACTGTGACTGGTGGAGTTTAATCACAACGGGAGTATTGTAATCGTTATTTGTGGACTTCAACATTCCATCAAATTCTTCTTTTTTATGGTCCCCTAATCCTTCTGCTCAGCAACACTTTCGCATTCTAAGTAGTTATTCAACCTCTGTTTAATTTAGAACTATAACCATCTTGTTTATCGATATGTCTATCTATCTATCTATCTATCTATCTATCTATCTATCTATCTATCTATCTATCAATCCATCCATCCATCCATCTTTTGTGTTAGATTATAAATTGGAGAAAGTCACCAGAATGATTTCTAGTAAGTTGAGGTATGACGTATCTGGAATCATGAAGGCATGAACAATTCACATGAGATTTAAATCCGAGTATCCCAGTTTCAGATACCGAAACTCTGATCTACTCAGAACAACGTGATAGGTGATATTTAAATCACTATGCACTGATTGAATGATATTTCAAATTACTACACGATGGGTAGAGGAATTACTCAAAAGTGATTGATTGTTTTGAATGAGTAAATACGTTGACGCTACTATTTTCTTTAAAACTCACGAAATCAACAACACTAAATTCGTCTAGATTTTTGATTAACTAAACTAATATTTAACTCAATTTCTGCAATATTTATTACACAATAAACTACAATTCTTGCACGTCACTTATATCTCGCTGAACATTTTACAAAGAAATATGGGGAAATCCGAACGATTATTCATAAAGTGCATTCGTATATTTCAGAAGCACTGTAATCACTACATGCTAATCTTAATTCTCTTGATATTTTCAGACTCCTCTGCTTTACACCACAATAGAACACCTTGGTACCAGGGTAATAATAAACAATTATTTGTTACCACTTTACAATATGTAATCACCTATTGACATGATTAGTCATAAAATTTTGTGGCAGAATTAAGTAATTTAAGGCTTATCATTCAACTAGAAGTTCACTTCAACATGTAGTAGGCGTTAATGTTGCCATTGACGATTTATAGTGATAAATGGAATTGAGATGTACGAAATTCTTCTCAGTTGACGATTAATTTATCAGCTCTTTTTCTTCTTCTTCTTCTTCTTCTTCTTCTTCTTCTTCTTCTGCTTTTTACTCACCTATCCAGGAAAGGGTAAAAATTGCTAGATTCGTATCATCATTTCTTATTTTCACTTTATATACTTGAATTATAGATCAACTCATTCATAGATAAGTATATCTGAATTCGGATTATATAAATCCTCGGATTTATTCGAGGAGTTGCTAATCAGTTCACGAAGATGAGCACAAGTTTGGTAAATGTTTGTCATGTGGCAAATCTAAGTCATGTAACTCATGTGTATTTCAGAATGTTAAATGCTTTAAATGTGTTAAAATTTGACACATATAACCAGTTTGTAATACTGTGGTGTGTGCTACTTATATTGACATAAGTAGTAGATGATGTTAGTCGTGAACAGAATGTCTGGCAGCAGAAAGACAAGAGGACCAAACAGTAAAAATTGGAAACAAAATTCGATTTGTATGAAAATTCAAGAACAATTACGTTTGAGTCATTATGAGACAAATGATGGACATTTTGCAAATTACGTATTTACTATTTGATTGTTACATTTTATTAACAAGTGCTGTAATCTTGTGTCAAATAAATTCGGATATTCCCACCTGTGTTCTCATTCACTATAATACTATTATTCATTTCGCTGCATGTAATGGTAAACTTTGTAATTCCGATCCTATTAAGTTGAGTGCTTTAAATGAATCATACTCAGCTCAGATTCATGATGTTATTTTACAAATATGTGGAAGGTATGTCGAGTGCACCGAATCCTGATCAAATCTCTGATGCTATTTTATCAGATGTGGTTTATCCTAATGATTCATTTATCTCCATTGAAATTTTAATCAAATGTGAGGAACAAGTTCAAAATGAGTTAAAATTTGATTACGGTCCTTATAGTGTCGCATCAGATGTTATTTGTCTCTACGATGCATTTATCTCTAGTGTTATTCCTAATGAACGTGACAAATATATTCCGAACGAGTCGGATTCCAGTTACATTTGTGAATTCATTGTATCAAATGTTGGATAATATCACAATTTATGTGTGCATTTTGTATGTATGCATTTTGATAAGTCTTGCGGACTGAACGCTATATTCGTCTCCTAAGCTATTCTGTAACCCCCAATCTAGAACTATACAGCGACCTGAACACGAGAGAGAAGACTCAAAGTATGCGAGAAGTAGTTTACTCCAAAATTCATTTTAATACAGAAAATACAGGGTTTTTATAATATTTTGAATGTCCTTGGGTTGCTAGTAGATTCTGGAACGCTAACTAACACAGTAGCAGTGTAGCAGCCAGTCAATCAGATCCTCTGCATGTGACGTTTCGCTTCCTTGATATTTTTGGCTAAGACTTAAAGTGAACGCTGATTGGATGAAACGCTTCCTAGTGTTTCCTGATGCTTGCTTGACTTTTGCAAGTTATTTTCTGGATCACCTCAACACATTTGATCAACAAGGCTGACCGTATTCACTTGAATCATGGATGCCTAGAGCTGAAACCATAGATTTTTCAACATTCTGCACCACTCTATCTGTAGCTGCTGGTCAATGGTCATTTCATGATAATATGCGACTTCTGTAGTCTCTAAACACCTCGTATTCAAATGAAGAATCCTTTTTTTTAATAACGTTGATGGAGTCTCTTTCGTTATGGAATGTCATGAGTACCAGACAACTCAGACTTCTTGGAAAAACAGACAGCATTCCAACCTTCTCGTACAACACTGAGTGTATACCTCGAGTATCGATGAGTTTTCTTGGATCAGTTGTAGATGGCTGACTGGGAAAATTTGCACTTATAAACAGTTTGCAACATAAACCGGCTTATGTCGTAATGGATGTCGAGATGTGTAGTCAACAGACTGAGTTTGTTGAGCACTGTCGTGCTCAATTGTATTGTCATAGGCACTCAGTTCAATACTCCTTCTTTGAGCTATAACTTCCGAGAGACGTGTTAAGGATTTTCGACGATGAGTAATGAACTTAAAAGGACCATGATCTTTAACCGTGGTGAATGTCTTCCTGGATAAATGTTTGTGAAGTTGTGAAACAGCCCTAAACACAGTTAATGTGTCTCGCTCAGTTCGTGAATAACCTAATTCAGTAACAGTGTATCTGCTTGAAATACAGACTATAGTCTATGTTCCAGCTCCAAAACTGCACCATTACATAAAGGTGATGCATCTGTAGTAAGTACAATATATACACTAGTAGAGTGACTTCGAAGAACAGTAGCACTATGAAGAAACTTGAATAGACGTTGCATGCATGACTCTTGTTTCTCATACCATTAAAAAGAATTGGATATCAAGATTTGTAATAGACAGTTGACATAACAGGATAAATTAAGAATATAAATAAATAAAGTATTGAAGAGAATATGATGTTTCGAATTATTTGAATTATAGCACGAACTAAGAGTCCAAGAAATAACGCAGTTGAATTAAGAAGACACAAGCACAAACGAATGTACTGTATTTGGAATTCGAAATCGAGCATTCAACAAGTACAAAAGAATCATTAGTTAATTCAAACACCACAGAGAACCAATTAGTAGACCTAGTTTTGTAGGTGCTTTCCGAGATAGTGCATTTATCCGTGGAGCTGGTCGCTTCGTCTCTGGTGTAAGACCGTTACCGTCATTTAGGTATCCATGCATTCAAAACTACAAACACAAAATGAACACTTATCAGGATTAACGGTAATATCATTTTCACTTAGGTGGTGCAGAGCAGCAGGAGGTCTCTGATCACGAGCTACTTTCTTAGAACCATGATTGATAAGATCATTTTGATGAACATTCACACTCTTGAGATCACTTACTATATTACTCAACACTTCCTGAAATATGACTGGAGCACAACTTAAACCAAATGAAAGTAATTTGTAATTGAATAGAGAAATTGCTAATTGTTGTCAAAGCAAATGAAAATTGACCTGAGAGAATTTGAAGATAAACATCTTTCAGGTTGACTTTCAAGAATACATTAAAATCATTAAGCCGATTAAGTACATACTTAGCATTCGCCATCATGCATGTCTGCCTCAAAAAACGGGAGTTCATCGTTAATCGATAATTGCCACTAATTCTAGGGTGTTTCCATCAAAATTCAACAGCGTAACAATAGGAGTACCCCATGCTAAAGACTGATTCGGTTTAATTATTCGTTTCCGTCCCAAATCGTTCAGTATCTAATGGTTCGTTTTTAAAAAACCATCAGGAATCCTTTGTATTTTAATAAGTACAAGATCACCTATTACTTCAAGTTAAGAATGTTAGATTTCTATCCCTCCATGAAAATGAGCAAAAGCAGCTTGACATGAAGTTGGTCAGCAAAACTACACTTTGTGGCTTGTATCTGCAGTTCGAGAAAAAAACTTCTTAATGTTTTGGTTGCTCTGACGAATCATTTACGAACCCAATATTGACGATACATTTCCAGCGACTAAAAGGTCACAAGGTATGTATGAAGAGCGATCATCGCTGATAAACAATTCACAGCATCTTAGTGTATGCATTATATGTCCAGTAAC